TCAGACGTGTGCTCTTCCGATCTCCCCAAAACCCCAAAACCCCAAAACCCCAAGATATGAGATTAAGATATTTTTCAATTTAAGATTTTAAAATTTAAAATGTCAAAATACCTACATTTGAACGTATTAGTGCTAACCTATTTTATTAGTCTTACACTTAGTATTTCAACCGAAGAGATAAATGAATCAGTAATCATCATTATAAATCAAAATAATTTAATAGATTCCAAAGGATAAGGGAGTATTCTTGTTGACTGAGGAAACTTTTGATGATTTCATTAATTGGAATAATCTCACATTCGTGTGTTTCCACAATAACAAGTAAGATTTTGAATTCAGTATAAATTTTAATATCTATTTCCTTTTTAGTGAAGAAATGACATAGATGCTGTTAGAATATCTCTCTCAGGTAGCAGTTAAGTTAGTGACTCATAATCCTCCAATTAAGTTTGGGGTTATAAATGCAGAAAAATCAAGAATTATAGAAGCAAGATATCAACCACTTAACCCGCCTGATTTCAAGCTATTCTAGTATATCTCCTTTCAAAATAAAAGATTATTATAGCTAAGCTAAGCCTACTAATTACTTTGGCAAGTTTAATGTTGACTCTATTACAACTTGGATTCATAAAAAGACTGGCATTCCTTCGAATAAGATTGAGAATCATCAGCAGCTAATTGTTAAGTCAAGGCAAATTGATAGTTTAGTAGTCTATTTCGGGCCATTAAGTATAAAGAAATATGGGTAATATCTTGAGGTAGCAAGAGACTTTATGCAGCAAGATGATATAGATTTCTCTCATATTGATACTAATCAATATTCTTAAAATGAACTTGAGCTCTTGAATCTTGAGGGATATAATGAAAGAGGCTACTAAGTCAGAGTATATCGAAGAAGAAACCTTAGAGATTACAAGGATTACAAGGACGATTCACTTGATTTCGAGAAACTTTAGGCTTTTATTATCTAGAGTACTTTTGTTGGGCCAGGTCCTGATATTGTAAGAGAGCTAAGCACTGAAAATGCTATGAAGATATTCACTTATAATAAACCTGTTCTCCTTTTGTTCAGAAATACTAGTTCATCAGATGTTAGATACTATCATAGCTAGTTATCAGAAGCATATGAGGAGATTTAGAATAAGATTCTAGTAGTTCTTGCAGACATCAATAGCAGCATTACTCAAAAGATTGCTCTTCTTGTGGGATTGGATGTTGAAAAGGATCATTTCCCTTAGATTAGAATCCTTGACCCTAACCCTGGCAAATCAGTTGTACTAAAGTATGTTTACAATTAAGATAATATTGAGAAAGATAAAATTATTGCTTTTGTTAATGACTTTGTAAGTGGAAAGTTATCTTCATACAAGAAAAATGAATTAGAGCCTAAATCTAGATCTGGATATGTGACAGCACTTAACAGTCAAAATTATGAAAAGATAATATATGACAAAGAATTAGATGTTTTTGTGATGTTTGTTGGTGGAGGACTTTGCAAACTATGCGATGACTTCTGGCCAGTATATGTAAAAGCAGCTAAAGTCCTTAGCAGAACTAACGGACTAATCTTTGCTACAATAAATATGGCGTTGAATGAAATTGACGATACAAGTGTATATTACTATCCAACAGTTAGATATTACCCAAAGGATTCTAAGTATAGGCCTTATGATTATGATTAAGGCTTAGATCTGAATGATGTAATTAAATTCGTAAAAAGAGTTGCTTCTGTGACACCAGTTGTTGAAGATTATGCTGTCTTGATTGAAGAAAAAAAGTAAGAATAATTGAAGCAGGATGCTAGTGATAGTAAAGAAGCTGAAAATGCTAGTAAGGAAGAGGTTTTTGTTAGATAAGAATTGAGGGATCAAAATGAATTAAGAGCTGAGGATTTGTGAACACTCTACTAATTCTTTAATTTTTTAATTAAAATATCTATTAATTCCGATCAAAATTTGGTATTTTGGGGTTTTGGGGTTTTGGGGTTTTGGGG